ATACTCAAGATTCATTTTTGCGCAATAAAAAATTTCCAAAAATTTTAAAAAAAAAAACAAAAAAAAAAAAAAAAAAAAAGGGAAACCAGGAAAAGACCAGACTTTAAATGAAAAAAACTAATTTACATTATAAATTTTACGCGTTTCACCTCCAGCAGATGCAATTAACTCACATTTTCCTCAGTCTCGTCTTGCACGTCATTGTGATTTCATCACCATTCTCCAACAGCTTTTGGCCTCTTGGACACAATTTATCTTTATTTATTTGAAGAATCAAAGTTTACCCAAATGATTCATTATTGGCCTGCAGAGCGGGATTGCATTACCAAATATTGCATCAGAGCAGTCCTCTGTTACTGCAGTATAACGCACATTGTTATATTCATCGTAACAAAACCTAGCAGCAGCATCATTTCTCTCACTTTTTTCTTCAGCTCCACACTGATGGCGTTGGCCTCCTTCAGGTACACGGCGTTCCCCCACAGCTGGTCACGCAGGGAGGTGAACTGATGGTACCTCCACTTCCTGAAGGCCCACTGAGCCAGCTCGAACTCGTGCTGCGTCCACGGCACTGTGGAGAACACACCGAGCAGAGGTGACATTATCATAACGCTCACGGCGCGTTTTAAAGGCAAATTAAACCAGGGGGTGGGGGAGGGAATCTGAAAGGTCTTTACAGAACAGTTTGGATTGTTTAAACCTCTCCACGGGTTCAGAGAACGTTAAATTAGTGGAAGAAAATCAGCATAATTCATAACGTGGAATCACGAAGGCAAATGTCCTGCAAGAAATGACTGCGCAGAGACAGTAAGACCGTTTTAAAATCCAAACTGGACTATTTTTCCAATTCAGCTCCACACAGTTTCTAAAAGTGTCGACTTACCAACAGCAGCTGGACTTAAAACTTCAAGCAGATGCCAGGAAGGTGTTAAAAATGGAAAATGAAATTAGGAGGAACTACAGTTGTCTGACATTTTAAGACAATTTGTAAACGACAAGCTGAAACGTTAAAACAAGTACGGTCGATTTAACATCTAGCTAAACGTTATGTTGGATTAGATTTATGAATCTATAGACTGATTTCAATTAGTACCTTTGGTGGGAAATTAGAATGACTATTAATATGTCTTAGAATAAAAGATGACTGTAGAAAAATTATATACGCACATCCCAGTAATTTAGGCTCTGGACACAGAACGTGGAAGAAAACACACAGCTCATTTATTTATACACTTTCCATTCGTGGCCAATGCATCAAAAGAAACATCTTCTTAGTACACACCTTCCTCCTCTTCCTCCTCCTCCAGCTCTGCCTCGTCGGGCGTCTCTGCGACCAGAGAGCGCGTCTCCACCTGCTTCTGGAGCTCCTGCAGTTTGCTCTCGTAAACCTGGACACCGACACACAGGGGGACATGGACAGCTGTCCATCAGCTGGACACACAGGTGAAATCAGCAGCACAACTCGGCCCAAATGACAGCCAAGGACTGATGCCAGGAGCTTCGTTTCTGAAAACTTTGATCATTTAGCCAAAGAAAATTGTCTGCAACATAGGTGTAAGGTTACATTTTTTTGCATGATCTAGAATGATGGGCAAATAACATGTCAGTACACATTAAACAGCAGAATATTTCTGCACGGTGTGTAAAATATTAATAGCCTAGAAAATGTATTACTTGGAACAACAAAACACAACAACAACAAAAAGAGAAACAGTTCCAAACCGATTAGATTTGTAAATCATAGAGCAAAACCCATCAGCATACATTATTAAAACTTCGGATGCCAAGTGATTTTTTTTTTGTTTTGTTTTGCTTCTTTAGAAGCTAAAAGGTATCATAACTCAGTGGCTAATGTACCAAGTAAACAATTCACTTTCTAAAATGACGAAATGGCTTCAGTGGGAGAAGAAAAGAGCCGGGAGAAGCCGAGTCAAATGTAATCCAATGAGGGGCGCCATCATCATCATCAGAGAAGGCCAGGCAGCCTGTGGTCCCGATGACCTCATCTTGTTTGTTCACAGTCTTCTGGTAAAACAATGAAGCCTTTTCATCTGGTGCTGACCTCCTCGCCTCGCTGCTGAAAACTACCGACACACCGAAACCCAAACTCTCAGCTCGACTGAGAGAAGACGGACGGCGTAAAGCTGGCAGCACCGTCACCGTCATAGGAGACGTCATAAAGTAGATTCACACTGCGCATTTAAAGTGTTCAAATATTTCAGAAATGTAATACTTACAGGCTTTGAAAGCCAAATGTAATCCTCTTTCCAACACACATGCATTTGAGCAACACTATCAGTGTATGATAATCGCTGTCATGAGAAACAAAATGGATTTTAATGGATTACAATTCACATGAGTAGAGTACTGGACAAACAAATGTCGACAAAACCAACAAATCCAGTGATTTACCTCAGTGCAGCAATTTAAGTCAGATAAAGACTATTATATCAACTCCCTGCCTAGATGAGGAGGTCTGGCTCCAGCTGGTGATGGACTGGAGCAGCCCGGCCTCAGGGAGACCTGTGGGTCGGGGGAGAAGCCCACGACAGAACCAACTGATCGTTGAGCCGAACAAGAACAGTACGTACTTCCCCAAGTCTCCAAAGAATTTACAGCATCACCAGAAAAAGCTCTGGAATTGTCAAAAGTCACAAAAAAAAGTCAGGAGACGGCTATGGAAACTTGCTAAATATGTCGACAACATTGCTGACTGGACAGCACTGGTTCAGGTGGAAGCAAACGTCTGGGGAGAGACAGAGGCATACTTGCCAATCTGAATATGGCCAGAATAATAAAGAATTTATTTTTTGATGCTTACAAGGTATTTTGATTACTTGATGCCAAAAACCCTAGTCAGGGTTTCCCTCAGTGTATTATAAGCCTGGAGGCCCACCAGGCTTTTCTTGCCCCCCACCTGGCTAAATGTCGTCTTCATTTAAATCTTTATTTATATACTAGTAACAGTGACAGTAAAGACAGATTAAGCTAGTTTATAGTTGACTATTGACCTAGCGCTATTATTTCACATTACGATGCCTGCACGTGCACCCCCAAATGTTTTGTAACTTTCAATATTTTGCAACAGAAAACACGATGGGTAGCGCTCCTACCACCAGGCGTAGCAGGTTCTCTTTGGGAAACCCTGCTAGTGCCACGTTTAAGAAGTAAGAGAACAGTTTTCTCTGTAGGATTTGTCCACACATTAACTGGGCTACCATTAAAATGTGTTACAAGCCAAATTATTAGGAGTCATTCACCCTAAAACTTCAGACAACTGAAGACGTCGGCGGAAGGAGGAAATCGTGAATTTATTAAAAAAAGATAAAATAATAATGTAAATGAAAATAAGAAAAACTGTTGCTGAAATGTGTCGCTTTGGAGGCATCTATTGAAACAGAAGTCGTCCTGCAGAGACTCGAGTTACTGCTGTCAGGACAACCTACCAATGCAGTTCCAAGATCATCACTGATTTACATGGAACAACACAATAGGAAACAATGAGCTGCTGATGAAATTCAGAGCTTTGGGAACTGCACTGTCAAATGTCCATAATTAAATGAGTATGACTTTCCATATGGACTAAAAGTCCTGATTTGGTTCTCTGTCGTTCTACAATTTTATCCTGGACACTGAAGAAAAAACAAACAAACAAAAAAAAAAAATCAAACTCTTTAGTAGAAAATCTTCAAATAAAAGCAGATCATTTTATTTCAGTCATCATTTGAAAAATAAATTCTCCAGCAACACACTTATGTCCTTTTTTTATGCAAATATACTTGTAAATAATATTCATCAGGTCTTATAGGTTTGGAGAAAATACCTAATATACTGTAATAGCAACAGCACACACAGTCAAAATGAGGCACATACTGATGATTCAACAAGATGTACAACACTTGTATAGAGGTTATGTGCTTTTCAGAAGAAAAGAATACTGTACAGAGTTCATTTGACATTTTATGCACACTTTCCAGTCTAACTGGTCACCATCAGAACTGGAGCAATTCCTGAATTGCTGTTTTATAAGGAGCAGGTCCTATAAGTTTAGGACTTCTAAGATGTGACATGCAAAAATAGATAGTCATAGAGGGACAGTAATCATTACATTCACTCTGATAGTCTTTAAAACATATTCCTTAAACACTTGTTTCTGATTATATGTTATGAAGGACATCTGACATCAAGTTATGAGAATTATCGGGATATTTTAGAGCTGCAGATGGAGCAAGTAAAAGACATGAACAGGCAAACCTTTCTGCTAAAACTATTCGAAGCAGCTACAGCGCAGAACAACTGGAGGGGGAAAAAAAAACAGATGTATTTCTCTGAATGATTGCTTTTTCTGTCTGGATCCAACAAAAACTAAACAGTCCTCAAAATCTCATTCGATCTGGACATTTCTCCTGAATAGCAAGTATGCAAACATTTCAAGTCGTTGCCCTTCCTCCAACATTTTTTAAAGGCCAGACTTTGGGAACCATGACAACACTCTGTGGGTATCCATTGACACAAAGTGAGCTCTGTGCTTACCCAATGAACCACAAGACTAAAAATTTTAAGGCTGGAACAAATAAAAAAAATAATAAATTAAAATACAGCACAATTTTATGACGTGGGGAAAAACTGCTGAAAGATTTGGACGATAAACTTAATATCTCAGCTGTGTGTCTCAACATTTCAGCATGTAGTGGTTCATTGAGCTCCAGGATTTGAAGAAAGAATAGATCTCTGATAGGGGGAGGGTAAAAAAAAGAAAAAAAAATCTTAAAAATCAAGTTACAGGTTCAAAATAACCATCACTGTGCTCCCTGGGTAAATACACAGCTTTCCAAAGACATGGAGTGCAAAATACTTTAACAAAAGTGGTGGCAGTTACATGGAAAAAAGCACAGGAAAGGATACAAATCACAAAGCTGCTTGCAAAAACAACTGAACGTTTTTGGTGTGTTGTGAAGCTTCTTAAAAAAAAAAAGAAGAAAAGGAGCCAGCACAGTGAATAAAAAGGAAAAGAAAAAGAAAATACTGATTTGCAAATGCATAGCAGGGTTAATAAAGTTAGTGCATAAAAAGGCACTTATTGAATATCACACACAGTTACTACGATTTTAGTCTCAAGTTAAAAAAAAGGTGCACCTTTCACCGGTGCTTCAAGTTCTCCAAATTTAAATGAGCAAGAATAGTTTGATTGCTAAGTAAGGAGAATGGTGATTCATGATTTGTATTCAAAGAAAATGTCTAAAAATTGCAATAAGGACTCGTTTTTTTCCCATCTGGAAGTCAGTCAAAATGGCACAAAAATGAAATAAATACCAACTGCTTTCTGTTCCTCATTTGGGCAATAACACGGCGTAGTGCTGCGGGTTGAAACATTCGTCATCAAATCAATACTAAAACAGTAAAAATGTAAACTCAAGAGATTCAAACATGAGCATAATTTTGGCAAATCAAAGCATGATTCATGAATTGTCGTACATGCCGATAAATGAACAGGCGAAGCGTTGCTCTCCTGTTAAAAATAACCCCCTTATCGTCTTGTTGGCTTTAAATCCTTGTGACTCTCTCAATGCTCCTGAAGACGACTGACACACACACACACACATACACACAATGCAGCAAAAACTGATAGAAATGAGGAATAACATGATCATGACGATGAGAAAAGTATTTTTTTTTTCTTTTACATTTTGAACAACACTTGGATCAACCAGTTAACACATTTATCAAGTGCAATAGTCCCAGTCAGTTTTGCTGTTGTGATCTGTAATGCGTTTGCCTAAAAGTAAAAGCGTTTGAAACTAGTTCTGTCAGTCAGACTGCCGTCTCTCTGCTGGCTTTTAGATTGGGAGCGGACATTTGCCTGCGCATTCGTGGAGGCGGCTGAAAGCTGAAAGGAGGGTTAGCGTGGTCGGCGTGGTGGTACTGCTGGTAGCCACCGAAGCCGCCGTCCGTGTACATCACGGCGTTGTAGTGGCACGGCGGATGCTGGTAGTGAGGCGGCGGCTGCGCCGGTGGGTTGGGGTGGTAGAAAGCCTGCGTGTGCCTCCTGCTTTCGGGCGGCTGCAGAGACTCCATGGAACCCGAGGGCCGCTGGCGGTGGTTGAAAGAGTTGCTGCGGCCGCGTTCGTGCGGCTGCTGGTTGTTCCTATGGTTTTGTCTGTGACCCTGGTTTAAACCTTGCTCCGAGTCTCTACGGCGCTGAACTGACGTGTTCGGCAGAGGCGGGGTGACGTGGACGACTGAGGCGGCCATCTTGTCTCTGGGCTGCACTGCTTCTTCAGCAGGGCTTTCTCCTTCCTCTTCCTCTACAGCTTCTTTGGGCACCTTTAGCTCTATGACTTGCTGGTCGGTAATGATGATATGAGTACCTGGACTCCACGAGTTGCGGTGCTTGGGGTTACTTTTGAAGGGGAAGCGCAGCTTACGGTCTTCTGGCGGTATAAAGCGGTGAGGTCCGGGATGCCGGCGGAGCTGCTTGGAGATTTCTTGCTGCTGGAGGTTCTTGAGGCGCACCTGCTCCTGGCGCATCCAGCGCATGTGACCTCGCTTTATGGTGGAGTCGTCCCCTGCGCTTTGGCATTTTTGTGCATCCACGTCCTCCTCCTCTGGCTTCTCCTGCACCAGGGATTTCTCTTCCCGAGGGCTTGGTGTTCTAGTCGCACCAGTGGGAGCTCCTGCCACGGGAGGCTTTTCTTGGCCCTCCGGGGTGATGAGAGGAAGAACCTTTTCCATTTTCACCATTTTATTCCTGAGAGCACGGATCTCCTCGTCCTTCATGTTATTCTGCTTCTTCACCTCCTGCAGGATGTCCTCTAGTTTGTCAATGTGCACTTTGAGGTCGTCCATCACTACGCCTCCGGGCCGGGCGCCGTTTGTAATGACGTCCTCGATGCGCTCGTCGCCGACTCCGACAGTGTCCCAGACATCCCGAGCCACGGCCCTCCACGAGTCCCGCTCGTTGGGGTCCTTCTTGCAGTAGCTCGCACAGAGCTCCTTCATCTTCACGATAGCCAGAGCCTCGATCTCCTGCCGTGTGTGGCGGAAATCGTTCAGTGCTACCTCGTAACAGATCTCTTTCACCGCCTGGATCTTCAGGTCGGAGATGGTCACCCACTTGGAGTCCTTGGTGATGCGCCGGCGCTGGGGGATCTGGTACATTTTAACCGGCTCTCTTTTTTTCCCACTGCTGGGTAAGCCACATTTTTTCACTATGGTTTGCAGCTTGCTGGGCGGCAGCTTTTCCCTCAGGGAAGTGATCAGTCTCCAGCTCTCTTCACAAGACCGCTTATCTGAGTCATCCCCACTATCAGAGTCTCCATCCTTGAGAAAACAACAAACCAAAATGGTTCCCAAAAAAAAAGGAGAAATTACAATGGGAAATCAGGGATAGGATGAAAGAATGGTTTAAAAAAAAGAATGACTGCAAAAAAAAAAAAGGTATGAATATGCAACATGGGAACCTAAAGCTAGAGCAAAATAGGAGTCATTGGCCAATTAAAGAGAATTTCCCTGGATTTGTAGGACTTTCTTTACAAAACAAAATTATTTTTTATAAATTATATTCTATGTATTTAGGAATAGGGATGTCCTGATCAAAGGAATGCATCAAACTTTCATTGCGATCTGACCTGATTAAATGGCCAGTGTTTTCCCTCATCAAGGTGAGTCTTTGAATAAACTCACCTCACACTATTTGCTTTACGGTCTGTGATTGTGAAAACAGAGACTAGCAAAACTAGATTAGCTAGATTAATGAGCTTGGTGTGCTCAGAGATTCATATGCAGTAAAGAGCTTCGCAGAAAGCAACTGAAACACTATACTGTAAATGTCGAGTTAGTTAAAGCAAATTGCCAAGTTTATGAGGCAATACAACTGTCCCTGAAAGCTTTCTGCACTGAATTGTTACAAGCCAAATTACTGATAAAGTATAATATCAAAACATGTTAAAATTGTCCAATAAATTCAGAAAACCTCAACACCAAAACCTCGTTCACAAGATTTAAATTTAAATTTACCAAAAACTTTGTCCACAAAATAACCCTAGTCAGATAAATGGATCCTGCAACATCCAGAGCATCATTGGTGATAAATTATAATGGAATATATTAATGCATGTAATAGTGTTTGACTGTATTTTAAAGATAGTGAATTTTCAAGCATGTCTACAGAATTGGTGTTGGACCGCGACTTGGTATATGCAAGTGCCTCTTCTTAAATGACAACAAATCGTGATCAGGACATCTCTACTTTGCATACATCGCAACGGTAAAAGATGTATGGCGCCATGCAGAGTCACCTCAGGAATTTCACTCAAACTCAAGACGGGAAAAGAAATTTAAATGCAACAGTGGCTTCATTGACATTCTTCCCAGTTTTTCTGTCTCTTTACCACTTGATCGGCCACAGTGGTATGAATTTATGTTGTTTTTTTTTTTAATAATTGGGAGCAAATTTTCAGACGATTGCGTTTCCTTTGTTGCATATTAATAATAAAAGTAAAAGCATGTCTACAATGATCAGAAAGGAAATAACAGATGATAGCTGCTGGTTGGAGGTCTTTTCTAATGATTTGTGATATTCCTCTTCTTAATTGAAAGTTTTACGATTTGACAGCTGGATCCCAAACATGCAACAGCGGCATGCATATACATGGACTTTGGAGCCTTAGTCCAGAAGGTTTGAGTGTCTTTAGTGTTAGCGGTGAGTTAGAAGACAGAGTGTTGCCGCAGCTGATCAGAAAGTCAGTAGAGAAGACGATCAGAAGTGAGGGCAAGTGTTAATCCACTACAAAAGAGTTGTTAGTTGGAAAAACAAAATGCAGTTTCTCATTTTTTTTTTTTTGTAGACAACAAACATTACAGATCACAACCAGTCGGCGCTGACGGTCAGTATTTTTTGTGTGCGAGAGACTATGCCTGAAGCCAGAAATGGGGCATGTGATGTCTCTGGTAAAGTGATACTTTAATGGCTGACGTTTTTGCACATGATCCCACCGAAATATGAGAAAGGCCTTTGTGTCGTTTAACTCTGAGCAGCGAGAACTCCATTGTGAAGCCGCGCCCTCAGTGCGCTACGCTAACAAAGAGAGGTAGCCAAAGAAGTCAATGAGAAACCACATTGTCACTATCTGTCAAAAAAAAACAAATAAAAAAATAAATCTACAGCAGGAATATTTTAGTTATCACAATGCATTGAAATATGTCAGCAACTGCATTGAAGAGATGAAACTCAGGACAAAAACCAGAGCAAGAAAACTAGAGGAGAGATCTAATCCAAGCAAATCAACAGCCACTTCAAAGAGTTGAACAGCTCAGCGGTAAACACTGCAACTTAGTCCAGAACCAGTAGGAGTTAAGAAAACATGCTAATAACATGAACCATGCAAAAGCAGCATCTTTTCAGAAGAGAAGGGAAATCCTGTGGTTTTAGTACCACCAAGTATTTGGTTCAAAAAGATTTTGTGTTTTTCGCATCAAATCTGATTTATCTTCAAGGTGCTGTTTTGCAGGACTCAGATCCACTATCGGAAACATAAGAAAGGTGGGAAATAGGGAATTTGGAAAGTTGAGCAATCTAAGTCTTGATCGACTTTCTATGGAAAAAATTTCAGTTAAACTCAGAAACGGACACAAATGAAAAGCTCATCCGTCTCAAACCAGAAAACTTCCATGCAAGAAGAACAGACATGCACCAGAAGTAAAAAAATGTAATTCACACACTCAGTTCACAAGTGTCAGAGTGAAAAATTAGTTTAATTGAGGCTTAAAGGTCCCAATTTAAACTAGTATTTAAGAAACTAAGCAGAGCTGAGAAAATCCTGGTTTTGAATTTTCTATGTGGAAATACATTTTCCTCAAAAATCGCACACAAAACAACCCAAACTAGATAAAATCGGTCAAGAAGCTGCTTCTAGCTAAAACAAAATTAGCTTAAAATTAAAACGAAAGTCCTCTTAAACCACTCAGCACTACTCTCTCTCAAACATTTTTAGGAAAGTCAAGTGGGCCTTGATTTTGTTCCATCTTATCCCAACTCACCAGTCGCTGTTGCTCCAGAAGCTGGTCTGCTTCTTCCTTCTCCTTCTTGTACAAAATTTCCATCTCGGTGAGCCTTCATAGGTGCAAAAAGCATGTTGCGACAAAGTCAGACAAAAACAAAAGCCTAGACCCGTCAAACAACGAATGAAGGACGGCTCCAGTACCTTTTCTCCATTTCCTGCTTCATGTCGATGCCCTGTTTCTCCAGGAGCTCTCGCTGAGCAAACGTCCAGTCCACGGGCTCGACGGGGGTCTCAGCGGTCGGCGTCTTCTCCCGTTCGGCTCGAGCCTGCTCCGGGTGGTTAAAGCGGAACACGTGGTTCTTTCCCATGATGATGCGGTTGCCTGAGCAAAGGCAGATCCCAGGAGTTTCAGAGAAAGTCAACAAAACATGAACAATTTTATATGGTCCAACACCCTAATAAACTAAAAAAAAAAAAAGAAGAAAAAACTACCCATAAGAGTCAAAATCATTTACGTTTCTAATTTTAATCGACAAAATAAACAAGGGACACGTACCTGAACGAAGCTGGATTGCTTCCTCAACACGTTTGCCATTGACGTAGGTTTCAGATCCCTCACATGGCACCAGCATGACAATAACTTCAGAGTGGAAAACAAAAAAACAATTATCAGACTTAATAGTTCATCACTAATCAAAACTGAGTCAAAGAGTAATAACTTTATGTTATGATTATAGACAATGAGAGCCTATTTTTTTCAAACATTTATTAATTAATCACTTTTATTCACTTAAAAACATGCATGGTAGCATCTCTATGTATTTCTGGAGCAAATTAATTTCATAACACTTCTTTTGCTCCCCAAATTATTTTTATTTTGTAGTTTTTCCACTTTCATAAGATGTGGTCAAATTTTAAAACAAAGTATTGAGATAAGAATATACCAAAAAAACATTGGGAGTAAAAAAAACCATTAACTTAATTTCACAAGGCTTTAGTTTTAAGTGCTTCCATCTTTAAAAAAAATACTCTAATCCTTTCATCACCAACCCATTGTACGCCATAATAAATAAATATAAACATTAAACAAACTGGGAAGAAAAATAATTGACGTCCCACCATCTCCGTTGCCATTTCTTTCGCTTCGGAAGATGCAGTGTTCTTCCTTGATGTGAGCTCCACTTAGAACGATGTCCTGCCTCCGCTCAGCGTCAGCCTGACCGACCCTGTCACAAACACAGAGTCCATTTTGAGAGACCAGGTCTTCTGTTTCGTTGTCGACCGTTTAGAAAATGTAGCAGATGTCAATCAGATCCAATGCATGCGAGAGGCTAGTACTAAAGTGTAATGTTCTCATGCCCCCCAGCAGAGGAACAATGTAACCAAATACTTCAAAAGAATAGTCTACTGAAAGGACAAGGAGAGGACAGCCACAGAAGATGGAATAAAATGCTGGCAGTGCCGGATTTTAAGCCTCCGACTCCTCAGGTTTCCCTTGCTAGACATAAAACATTAGAAAATGTGCAGATCCTCTGAAACAATGCAGGTCTTATTATTCGGGTTTTGGTTACCTTGTAATCCCATCTTTGATATAGTAGAGCAGACACTCAGACATTAGAGGATCCTCGTTCAGGTTGACCAGGTGTGGAGTCTGAAGATGAACAGAAAAGAAAAAGGAAGAAAGATCACCACAAAACCTTCCACCAGCGTCAGGCGGCTGTTTCTACATCTTCTGTCTCATCAGGGGGAAAAATGAACAATTGTGGTTTTCTAAAGTATCTGATGCATCACAAAACGGACTATGGGTGATCCTACAAATCCAAATCCAAACTAACCTTCTTTGGGGAAAACACCCCATTAAAGTCTGTATAGAGATCACAAGGCTTCTCTCTGAAATGCTAACCCGTGGAAAGGAAGACAGCAAAAGGACAGAAATTTCAGTAAAAGAAACTGAATAGGAAGACATGAACAACAAAAAAACAAAAGCAGAAAATAATGTGCAGCAGCCAGGCATTACACTTGGAAGAGGTTTTCTAAATCCAAAGCTGATTATTATTATGATTTTGTTAACAACTGCACACAAACATAAATTGCAGTTTTTACTGACGCCACATGTTGCTGCTTCTACTTGCAAGGGGAGATGAGGCAAATGGAAAGTCTAGTAAGGCTAATAGCTTAAATAAGAGACCTTGGCAGTAAAAGGTCTGAATCATCAGCGTGGAACAGCGCAGCATTTTTAAATAATACACCACTGTAAAATGATCTGACTTCTAACTAAAAACAAGTCATAGAAGCATAAAAGTTTAATTCTAAACCACGGGAACAAGCAGAGATTGGACACTACGCAACGACCCCCTAATTCTAGAAACAAGCCTACTGATTCTTTTGTCTAATCATTCAACTAAACAAACCTTCTTGGCAGAAAAGCAATCAAATTGCTCATCTAATGCCCCGTCACGGCTAAGCTGAGTAGGTGAAAAAGAATAAAAAGGAAAAAAGAAAGTGGAAAGAAAGACAGAATGACTGAGTGGATTGCGAGAGAAATGTTGACAGTAAAGGGAGGGCTCTCTTGGGGGGTAAAAAAAGATAAGATGGAAAACAGAAGTGATGGGAGACGAGGCCAGTATCCACACCCAGAGGAATTATGACCTTCCCTACCTTTTTAGGAGAGAACACGCCCAAAGTGCCTCCGTCTTCACGGATTGCCACGCCCATCTCTGCAAGCAGAGCCTCCCTGTAATGAAGACATGCATGTATACTCAGAAACAGCATTGCATAGTCAATAAGGACTTCATAAAGCATGTTACACATCTTTTTTTCTGCTATACTTAATTTCATAAAACACTTCTCTGATGAGAACTGGAAGAGGATGAGACCTGGCAATAGACTAGGGTAAGTGATTTTGTCTGACTCAGAGGATGGACAGCAGCAGGACTGCAGCTACAGATGAGTGGATAAAGGAGGGGGAAAAAAAGTGCAAGAAGGGTGTTTGTGCAGCAGCGCAAGGCGACCAAGACAAGGGAAATGGACAGAATTGGTGCAGCGGAAAGTGAGAAAAGCAGCAAAGAGGAATGAAGAGACAGTAGCAAGACTCTCAGATTGCAAGCTCTAAAGATTTAAAGACAGACAATGCAGAAAATTAAAGGCATTAAAATGTAAGAAGGAAGAGAGAAAAATCAGCAGTCGCAGACAGCAGGGGGGACACGTCTTTTACAAACAGGGCATTTTCCACTGAACTCTCCGGTGAGACGTCAAGAGAACCACATTTAGCTTTACACACAATAAAAAAAGAAAAAAAAAAAAAAAAAGAGCAGGATCAAGAGCATTATGAATAGATGAAAAAAAAAAAAAAAAAAAAAAAAAGAGAGATCTGTGTGAGACAAACAACGCCTGTCACATCCACACATAAAAACCCAGCAGGACGTAGGCCTGCACAGCGGATTGCCTGATTGGGAAAGTCGAACACAAACAGCGCCTGACGTCACGGAGGTGTGGGGGCAGCTTTTCAAAGCCGTCACACCAGCCGACGCGCATCGAAGGCAGACTATGAATCCCAATTAGGTCTGACGGGGTGGATGCACATGGAGGACGCGCGCTTCTTCCCCCAATCCTACTTTCAGGATCTGCATATGGAAATGAGAATACGCCGACTGACTGTGCTGACCTCTCCATGCGGATTGCTTCAGTCTTCCGTAGTTTCTCCTCCCAGGTTTCATTGAGCTCAGCAATGATCTTTTCTGATTCCTGAAAACAGAAGTGGAAAAAAAAAAAACACACATTACAGCTTACAGTGTATTTTAGTTAAACAAACCTCTTCATGGGCTTATTCTGATGTACGAGTAAGAAACAGCTTGAATTATTTAGGCTGAGGCATTTTCTTTTGAAATTAAAAGGGGGCAAATTTGAACTCTCAAAGCAAGGCGAGTTGTTTCATTTTGCAGTTATTGGCTTTTTATTAAAACATCATAACGGTAAATATTTAATGAAGCACATCACAGGCATACAGTGTAAAAACAAATGTGCCGGGGAGAATCACACTTATAAGAGAGGCACAAATGTTGACCTTCACTAAAATGTTTACTGTTTTCATTCAACTAAACATGACGATGTGCCTCACTGTGATCGCTACGACTCCAATAAGAACTGAATCTATTTTCGTCTTATTTCCTCTGTATTTGCGTCGGCGCTTGACGTCACTGGGATGACAGACAGATTGGGAACCATGGTTGTCATGGAAACTGCAGCTCCAGCTCAAGGCGGGCTCTTGCAGCCTCTATGTTGTTGCCTTATGTAAACAGCAAGAGCACGCACAGGAGCGACATGAAGCTCCGAGAGGACACACGTGGAGTTAGATGAGGAGTTTTATTGGTGTGGGGGCTAAGATTGAAGCATTGCTATTTAGATATTAAACAATATTACTAATCAAAAGCAAAAGCTGAGGTGTTAAGATTTTTACTTGAAGCTGATTTCAAATTTGGAAGCTTAAAAATTATCCTCCGCTTCTTGGTAGCGTGCAGACAAAGTGAGCTGTGGTTTACTTACATTTTGACTACTGTGTTATTTACTCCAAGTGTTACCTTGAGTCTTTCAATGGCCTCCTCTCCTCCAGGGGTGGACATGATGCGTTCCTGGATGCTGGTGACCAACTGAAGACCCCCCTGGTTGCACAATGCGCCAGAGGACGGAGAAGCTGTCAGGGAACCAATAGGGGCTGTGGAGAAATGGCCAGGGCGTTGGTTCTCTGAGGCTATCAAGTATCTATTCTTATTGTTCTGAATGTCTTTGAGGTCTGAGCCAGCAACAAGAAAGACAGAAAGATAGAAGTGGGGAGGGAAGGCCCAGGGTTTAGGGTGGAGGGAGTAAACGCATAAATGAAGGAAACAAACATCAAATAGGAAGAGAAAGGGAAATAGAAAGGTTTGGGGGGGAAAGAAAGGACACAGGAGGGGAAAGACCAATGTAAGACACACATTTTACATCAGAGGGTTAAAACAAACAACCACAATGCAGATTATCTACAGAAAGCAGCAGTTTTCACTCTAGGAGATTCTCTGGTCCCATTCAACATCGTTCAGAGAAGAATGACTAGAGCTTAGCATGCACTCAGATTCACTACTATTTTAAATATGAGTCAGCATTACAGACCCTGTGTGAAAACTGCTGTTAATTTATTAACTACAGGATGGAAGTGAGATGGAGACTGCAAGATAGTGCAAGAAGAGAAACCAATAGACATGCTGCCAAACTTCAGCCTGCAGATTGGTTGATTAATTTGCTCTACACATGCTGGTCGCAGAGCCAGAAACACAGCAAAGCTGCAGCTGCCTCACTGGAAGGTTCAAATGATGGCCATGAAGTTAATTAAGGTGGCCTGCAATGTGCTCTCTAGGAGATGCAAACATTCAAACAGAGGATAAAATTAGGAGTTATCATTTCATGTAGGGAGGGCATGTAGGCTTTGTTAAAACAGAAAACCTTACAGAGTAGCAGTGATGTCCAAGCTAACTGGAGTACTTACAATTGCTTAAAATCTACAGCTTCAATGTGAATCTTCCAGCCAACATAAGTTCGCCAAGATGATTTATACACAACTTTATTCAATAAATTCCCACTTGAAACAAAAGAGGTTAAGGCTAATCAGCTTGCCGCTAACATTAGCTTAGCTGTCTAGCTAGAAACAACTACACGTTACATGTTTAAACTGTGCAAGCTAAAATTATCAGTCGTCTTTATGAATTACCACAACATTTTTTCTTCTAACTCATTAACTAGTCCACTTACAGGACTTTATGTAAAGCTACATGGCAACAATTGGTAGTAAATTGTTAAAACTCAACAGATAAATTTAGTAATTAGCCTTAGCCATTTACTTAGTCTTACTTGCAACCTCATGATTTTCGTTTTAACACTTTTGTGTATATCTAATAAAGTGAGGAAAAATTAGTTAGCAATTGCTAATTAATTGCTTAGTTAGTTAGCAATTGTTCAACAGTGAATAAGAAAAAAACAAATGAACTTTTACTCAAAAATTTGCTACTTTTACATGTTCCTATATATAAAACCGAGAAAGCAAGGATGTGATTAATTAAACGTTGAAATCAAACAACTTTTGATTTTCCTAAACTTCGCACCACTCGTTGCAAAGAGCAAGTGAGCAACTGCTTTTGGTTCCATTTCCAAAGAGAGGGTAGAGATGTATTAGCAGAGGGAACACTACAAAATTATTCAAACTATTAAAGCACACTACGTTAGTCAACTCCATATGCATACACACTTCTGAAGCGGCTACTTATAAGTAAAAGTATATGCACCTTTCCGAATGTAGATCTGAGCCTCGCTTTGAGAACTCAGAAGTGCCATTCTAAAGCTTTGAGCAGTGTCACCTGCGGTGGATGATTAGTGAAAGAAAACAGAATAAAAAGCAGCAAGAGCCACCGGCAACAAAAAAAGCAGCGTCAGACAGTGAGTGAGAGAAGGTGAGACATGATTATAAAATGATCCATGGCGGAGACTGATGTACTACTTTAAATTTATACATAGTAGGATTTAAACCTGCAAAAAAAAAGCAGCTGCCTCACCCCATCATTTTGAAGAAAAAATAACAGAAGAGCAAGCACGAAGCATAGTAACCTACTGGCATGCTAACCTTTGCCAAATCAGACCACCTACAAAAGCCTTGCATTTCTGAGTCTTATTTCTTAAGCCATTTATGGCTTTTAAGCAAATGCATGCAAAGCTGGCAGCAGACTTAATATATAAGCAGTGGGGGTCCTAAGCAATTAGCCTTTAGAATTTTGGCAAATAGTGATATACAGAGCACAACTGGCACACGTATACACACATTTGATTCCACTTCCTGGGTAATCATCCCCCATTGGATCAACTAAGGGGAGGGAGCAGGAAGAGATGAGAAGGATCAGAAGTCAGTGCTAGTATGAGACGAATAACTTGGGAGAAATATTTCAGCACTAAATGGAAATGATGATAAGGATGAGACGCAAGGTCATAGACTGACTGGTTAGGCGCCAAGTTGTTACACAAGATATAAGCAAACATTAGCAAGTAGGCAGTTTGTTATACATTGCGACACTTTGTAATTATTCATGCTGACACTGCTGTCTTGTTCCTAATTGACAGGCCTGCGAGCCATTACTCTTGTGTGTAGCTAATGAAGTGAGATATTTCCATCTGGTTTACTTTGTGTTGTCAGGCACAGTAGGGGAAAGCAGACTTTCCATCGGGACCCCAAGTACAAATTTCATAGGAGAAAATAAATCGATACCTACCAACCAAAGTGTATTTTGAAAGCATATTAATTTGAATTAAGCACAAGTACAGACACTTGGATAGGAGGGAACATGAATGGCACAGAGCTTTGAGACAGTAATGAACAGAGAGGTTGTTGCCAGCTTGATGGCTGAGCAGTGTGGCTGTGCACTCACTGTCCAGGATGTCTCCCAGGCCCTGAGCGCGGAGCAGCTCCTTCAGTCGGGCCACTTCGTCCTTCAGCTCACGCACCAACTTATTGTTGGGATCCTCATTGATAACAGCGTTGCATTTGATGTTCTTGGCTCGGTCAGCGTAGCTACAAAAAAAAAAAAAAAAAAAAAAAAAAAACCCCCCAAGGATTTATATGGGGGGGTTTTCAAAT